CTCCGTCCTCCGGGAGGAGGCTTTGGGACAGCGGCGAGCAGTGCCCGAGCTGCCCACGCCCGTGCGGCCGCTGCCCATCTCGGATCGGCCAGAGCCGGGTCTCGGTGCCCGGGCTCGTCCTCGGTCAGGGCTGTCCTGGCCGGCTCCCCGGTTGCGTCCGCGCCTCTGGCGAAGGCGGATTAAAGCCCCTCAAGGAGGATCCCCGCCCGTCCCGAAGCCAACCCGCGCAGGCGGTCCCGAGTGTGGCCTAGGCAGAGGTTCGCAGCCGAGCCCCAGGCCCTGATGCCAAGGTCCAGAGCAAAAGAAGGTGAAGGCCTTGGGCGCCAGGCCGGGCCTGGCCAGCTCCCCGCCCGGGCTTCCCTTGTAGGGGTGCAGGGTAGCTACAGGAGAGAAGCAGGGTGTGTGTGGGGCTGGGCGGCGGGGGAGGCGCTCCAGGGTATTCCTGCATGGAGGTCTCAGCAAAATCTATACGTTATTCCGAATTTAAAATTATGACGGGGCTGGAGGCATGGCTTAACTGGTAGAGAGCCAGCCCTGGTCTTGAGCAATAACAACCAGCAAAAAGCTAGGCTGGAGGGGTGGCTCAAGTGGTAGAGTGCCAGCCAAAGAAGCACAAGGCCCTGGCAAAAACAAAAACAAAACACAAAACGGGAAGCCTGGCGAGGAGCCAAGAGGAGCCTGGATTAGATGCCATTTCCGTCGCTGGACTTCCATCTTCCAGAGCTGTACATATAGGTGAGTTACTCAGCTGCTAAGGCAGCTAAGGCTGCTAAGAGGCCTAACACATTTTAGTTTTTTAGTCCAGGCTGTTCTATAATCTTTTATAAAATAAATCAGACGATTTGATGTCTGATTGGGACAAAAATACAAGAAGTGGCGTAAATGTATAAATATTGGTAATGCTAATGGAAGGAGAGTTGACCACTTTCTAATGCTACTTGCGAGAGCCTCAGAGGATAAATGAAGCTGATGGTTGGCTCTAGTATTCTAAAAACAATTATTATCATTTTAAATGCCTGTAGACAATAATAATTAAAAATAAATCTAGAAATACAAGTTTTTCCTCAGTGTTGGGAATTTAGACCAGGAGGACCTGGTGTATTCTAGGCAATTATACTGCACCTGGCTTATACCTCCAGCTGTAAAATAATAGATTCTGTGTCTGTGTGTGCGCGCATACACACACATGTGCTCGCCGGTGTGCTAGTCCTGGGTCTTGAACTCAGGGCCTGAGTGCTTCCTTCCTTTCTTTCTTTCCTTCCTTCTTTCTTTCTTTCCTTCTTTCTTGTCAGTCATGGGTCTTGAACTCTGGGCCTGGACATTGTCCTAACACTTGAGTTATAGCACCACTTCCGGTTTTCTGGTGGTTCATTGGAGATAAGAGTCTCATGGACTTTCCTGCCCAGGCTGGCTTTGAGCCACAATCCTCAGATCTCAGCCTCCTGAGTAACTAGGATGACAGGCGTGAGCCACCAGTGCCCAGCTGGGTCTCTGTTCTGTTACCTTCACTCGCTCCTCTCCATAGCCTGTGTGAGCCTCGCTACTGCCCAGCTCTCCGGCCCAGCATGCGCTCCTCCCCTGGCTCTTCAGGTCTAGTCTGCAGGGAGCAGCCCCCGAGGCTCTGCACTGAGCCTGCCCGGGATGCTAACCTGAGGCTCATTGCTGAAAGCTTAGCTAGTTCTCACACCCCAAAGAGCATGCTCTGACGCCAGCTTCATCCGTAAGAAATGTGGATGTGCCAAGGACACAATCCAGTGCCTCTCCCGAGTATGCAGATGGAGGAAAGGAGCGGAACTCTTGTGTCAGCTCAGGGCCTGGCATTGCTCTTTGTTTTTGCAATGGTGTTGGTGGGATTCCAAGTGGTCTTAGTCTCTCCCCCATGCTTTGCTGACCACTTGTCACTCACAGACGAACCCCTATGCCATATTGACTGTTGGTCATTCTCAAAAGTGACACTAGGTGGCAGTTGCACTCTACCCAAATCACCCCACAGCTCTCTTAAGAGCAAATTCCTGCTTTGCTATGAATACAGTGGCCACACCTACTTGCTGAAAAGCAGCCAGGCTACTTTGGTGACAATCACTATGCCGGGGTCAGAAATTGTGCTACAGCTGCATGTGCTGGCACATGCCTGTAATTGTAGCTACTCCAGATAGAGAGACAGGAAGGCAGGAGTGTGAGGCCAGTCCAGGTAAAGGTGATGAGAACCTGCTCAAATGCAAAACAAACAGAAAAGGACTAGGGGCTTGGCTTGGGGCAGAATATGCCTAGCAGGGTAGAAGCCCTGGGTTCTGGCCCTAGCCCAAGGCTGGTCTCCCCTGGAGTAGGCAGGGTCTGCAGGTAGGACTATGGAGAGTGACCATACTAATGAGAATACATTTGTTACCAAGCAGTGCTGCTGGGCAAGGAACGTGGCTTAGTGGGAGAGGGCTTGCCTAGATGACACCCTGGGTTTGATTCCTTGGTACCACATAAACACAATGTGTAAATACATTTATTTGTCATAAAAGAACACAGTAATGGCCAAGCGGAGCTAGGTGCTCTTCACAAGTTATCCAGATGAACACCCACAGCAGCTTGATGGTGTGGAATTGGTGATCTAGGTTTGCAGAGGCCCCTGAAGCTGAGGGTAGGGAGGTGTTCAAGTTCTCCCCTCGTGAGAAGAAGATTCTCAAGCACAGGCTCTGAACTGCTCATGGAAATGGCTCTGTGGGTGCCAGCCATGCTGAAGGAATGGAGCCAAAGCTGGGGAGGAGGACTCAGGTGCTGTCCCGGGAGAGGTCGGGGGTAATGCAGGGCACAGACCTGCTGCATGGCTGTGGAGTGTGGGCCCCAAGGCAGTGAGCAAGCCCTAGATGGTTCTTTGCCAACAGTGAAACCAGGTTTGGAACACATTTTTGTCTTTTTTTTTTTCTTTTTGTTGGTCGTGGGGCCTGAACTCTGGGCCTGGGCGCTGTCCCTCAGCTCTTCAGCTCAAGGCTAGCGCTCTACCACTTGAGCCACAGTGCCACTTCT